GGACAAACAGCATCCATCACTGTTCTCTTGCCAGCTCCTGAAGCTGGCCTGAGTCAGCTCTAATTTGCTTATGAAATCCTACAGCAAATCCACCCCTATCACTGGAATTTGCAGTAAATACTGAGCTGCAGCCTGAAATACTGTTAGATGTCAAGTCACTGCAAAATCTGCCCAGCTAAAAGTTTCAGGTGCCTCGGCATGCACTACTGAAGTTTTGTGACTGGATTATCCACTTCCATGAGAACTAGAACAAAAATCATTGAATATTCAAGCAGCCCATAAGAATTATGCTCCCTGATGCAAAACTGCTGTAGATTTTTGCAAACATGTAAACCCAAACATTTAAAAAAGGTGGAGATTTAAAGATGCTGCTAAAACTATGCCATTATCATCCCCAGGTAATTATATGGTCTTTAATGAGGTAGCAAAGCGTATGAAATAGAAATTAGTACAGAAACTAATAATGTTTCTTAATGATTATTAACTCAAGAGTACTTAGGGCTCGGACTGTAAAAGGAGTTTAAGGTAGTCTGATGCTAAGTTTAACACGATTTGGGAACTTGGCAGGGTTCAGCTGCCTGTTTCTCTTGGTTTTCTCAGAAATCTTGGCTGTGCCCTGTACGCTCGCATGCAGTAATGGTCTGTGTGGCTGATATCAGTAGATCCTTCTCTTCATGTGCTATGTGCTGTCTCAGTCTGATGCTGGCTCAGACCTTTGTCTCACATGGAGAAGCTAAACTCTGTCCATTAGATAAATTACCTACTCTAGATCCTTTTCCATCAAAATTATGCAGGACATGCTTGAGCTGTTTTGTATCTCTTGCTGCCCTGAGATCTTCATTGTCCTGGCTGCAGGTATTACCCTCATACCATACCCTGCTCTTCTCCTGCTTGAACCCAGACATCCCATTGGCAGTGGAAGAGAAAACATCGTGACCAGCACTGATGAACTGGGAAACTGCCCCTACATGGAATGGAAAGAGCTGCAGGAAGGGTTCAGCATGGAAAAGGCTGTATGGCCTTCCCTCACCTTTGCTCTGCAGCTTGTCATAAATGAGATAATGTGAGGCTATGCCAAAATGCAACGTGATACACGACAGGGTGTGTTGTGTGGTATTACAGAAAGGGCACGTCATAAACATCACAGAGAGGATTTAGCTGATACCGTCATGTGAAGATTGCTAATCCGTGGGCTGTTGGTTTATAAAGATTCTGCTGGACTTTTTTCAGACTGCCTCCATTCCACCCCCTCTCTTTACAGCTTCCTTTTGTCCTTTTCTACCTTTTCACAAACAGTACACGCAGTAGTGTTAACTCACAACAAAAACCTTTCCATTCCTTGTTGTAGACCTGTTGGGATAGTGTCAGGCACTATGCCAACTGGCCCTACCAGCCAGAAAATTCGCCTTGCATTCCCTGAAATAACTTTAAAGAATTCCTTTCACCACTGCTGCATTCGTATCTCCCTAAATATACCCTGTGCCTCATAAAGTCTGGCATTATAATCCCTGACCTGTTCAGCAAGGTGTTACTGGGATGATGATCTGAACAGAGACAAAAGAAGCAGGTACAATCTAGTTCATGCAAAATGAGATGCCTTGATGGTTTGTGAATTAGATACCCTGTATGGTCTTCTCATTTGTCTCATCATCTTTTGAATGATGGATACTCCTACCTTAGCTCTCTTTTTACATATTTCAGATCTATGTTCTGTTGCTTACGTAGTAGATGGTGCTATTTTGTGTATTACTGAGCCAAGTCCCCAAGGGCCTGGTAATTGAGACAGTTACAGAAGCTTGAGTTAAGCATCCTGTATGGAGCTCACACCTGGGAGAGGTTTGATTCAGGAACAGCACTTTCTTTATGCCATTGACACTGGAGAAGAGTGGAGGAAAGTAAGAGGCCTAGACATTGCACATGATAAGCAACAGAGTGTACAGACGGGGAAAAAAGGGTCAATCTATTTTCTTTCTTCAGGGAGATACTGATGAGCTCAACAGTTAAATTCTGTTGAACTATGCACATGGTAATGTAGATGTAACGCTCCTCCAAGAAAATATCTTTGTTTACTATGGACCACCACATTTGGCTGCACGAAATACATCAAAATAGTCTAGGCAGACCCACAAGATTGCAAAGAAAAAGTAATTTTCTTCTAAATAGTGGATATTTTTTACCTTTCTACAGAAGAAAAATGCTCTGTGTTGTAAAGGATCACTTTTTTGTTTGTTTTTATGAAATGGTATTTCTTTTTGTGCAAAAACTGCAAGCTGCTATGTTATTATTTTCAGGGTTTTGTTTAATTTTTTTTTTTTGGAGGATATGCCAGTAGAAATGGGTATCTTAGTAATTTTGTAGTTTTTTGGAACATTTTTAAAAATGATAGGTTGAACTGATCTTTAACGCAACTAAAAAACTCCCGAAATTCAGCAATTAGTCAAGTTGTAGGATGAGTATGAAGGTACTAAGGCAGGCTTAATTGCATATATTCTTTGAGAATCATTAGAGGAACGGTGCTTGCCTTTGATTGCCAATGGTTAGAAATGATTGTAATTTTGTATTAATTTAAGACACTTTCACCTGCTTTAACTCATGAGATTTTTAGCAGAGTTTCTCTGACTACCTTTCTGATGAATTTAAAATCAGTGGTCCAGAAGAGGAGATCAGAGTTTGCAGCATAGAAAATACAACAAAGGCAAACAGACTGAAACTCACCTAAAATGAAAGGAAAAAGAAACACACCAAAAAATGATACAGCAAATTGAACCTCATCGTCTAAACCAGAATGCTACTGATCTTAACTACGTTCCAGCAGCATAACACAGTTATAACAAAGGCAAATACAGTCCTGCCTACTGGACAACACCTACTTTGACTGCAAATCTCACAGCTAGACTGCTTGTCTCCACACGGGCGATTAAGGCTGCGTGTCGGAGGTGATTGACACACAGATCCTTGTCCCCAGCGTGCAAAGCACCCTGAGCAGGCTGATGCTGGTCGCCTCCACAAACGCCACCTCGAGAGCTGCTGGTGGTGCTCTCCAAATTGTTCTGATGGGAGGCCCTTCACCCCATCTCCTGCATCACCCTGTCGCAGGGATTCAGGCATCATGTGGGGAACACTTGGTTCAGTGGCAAGTAATCACAACTTGGTGTTAAGTCCTGCCAAACTTTTCCTAGCAGCTTTTGTAATATGCTTGTGTCAAACAGACGATAAAAGCTGGCAGTTGCGGGTGTGTTTTGCGGCACAACTCATGTCCGAGAGGAAAAGCTACACTGGAGAAAGCAGCTCATTCCAAGCCCTTACACTGACCTGTCCAGACCATATTATTTGCACCTCTGCCTCCTATACCACCACTGCCTATATCTAGTTTATTAAGTTTGAAAAGCAGAGGCCGTCTCTGACAATGTTTGCAGAGTGCCTCACACAGTGGGGTCACAGTTAGGAACAGACCCATACAGCTGCTGTTAGGACAAAACTCCAGTGAGCTCTTGCCTGTGGTGTGTTCCAAACAGTGTGGGCTCTTAAGACACTCCTTGATTAAATGTTTTCTTACACACGCACACACACACACCCCCCCCTGCTCTTGGGATCATGCAGAATCTAAATGGAGCACAGAAATCATAGTGTCAATGTGGAATGAAAGAGAGTTTGACATTTCCCCAGTAGAGAACACTTAAGTCTGTTACTTTTGAGAGAGTTCTGCTATGAGAGGTTGAAATTTCAAAACCTTTTCCTCTGTAATAGAGGGAAAGAAGTGGTACTGGGGGTCCAAATGAAGGAGACTTAATTGCAGAACATTTCTGCAAGAAAACATTTCTGTTTCAGTGTTCTTCTGAAGAGTGATTAGAACAGTCCACTGGGAGTAAGAGCGCTTGCCAAATACTACTTTTGAGAAAGACAGTCTAAACTCAGTGTTGCTTCCTTAAGCCATGGGTATTTACCAGTTACAATTCTGTACCAGTGCAAATAGCCACCTTAAGGCCAAATGGCCTATTTAGTTATGTATCTTTATCCCTTAAGCCACGCTATGCACTGCAGTTATGACTTGCCAGTTGCTGGTTCTTGTAAACATGTAGGACTACACCATTTCAATTTTATGCTGAAATTCATTCCAGTGGGGACAGATGATCAAATCCAGACCTCACGTCACCCTAACCACATTTTACTTCCTCCATCTGCTTGTAGCTTATGAGCATGCCCTGAGAGCACTGGCTGTACCAAACCAAATCCAGAACATAAAAATGAGGGTGGCTCATGGCAGCGCTATAACTTTGCCTTCTTTCGCTCCCCACATGTGTCCTCTTGGCTCTCTGTGGCTAGCAAGGGTGACAGTGGGGAGATTAAAAAATTTCTTTCTGGTTCACAGGGTAACTTACTTGTCCAGTCTGTCCACCACAGCCAACTTCTGCTGATGTTCCCCCAGGGAGGAGTCCTACTCTGTCACTGAACGAGCTCAAAGCACCATATACCGGGCAGGCAGTCAGGTCCTGCTCTTCCACCCACCACCAAATATCAAGCAATGATCTCTGCCTTCCAGAAGATTCTGCTAGCAACTAGGATTCAAGGCTGTGCTGTGTTTGTTTCTGCTGTGCTTGGTTGGCTTTTAACTGATGTGTCACTTAATTGCAAAAAACACTGGCAAGAAAGCAAGCTAGCTTCAGCTTTTGTGCCTTGAGTTGTTTAGATTCCAAATAGGCATCTGATGGCAGAGCCAAAAGAATAAAGAGGAAATAACTGTGATTTTGATCAGCTTCCACGAAGCATTCCTGACAGGATTAATGTTCTGCACAGAAATCACTCTCTCATTTCCTGGATGGATTTTACTCCTTTGCTAAAGAGACAGAAAAAAAAAAAAAAAAAAAAAAGCCTGTGAGTCATTTAAGTTCTCAAAAGGAAGCCAAAATAAGATTTGAAAGATGAATGGGTATTGTGGGTAGGGGTATTATTTTTCTCATGTCTTTATTGATACAATTTCCTATTTTCTTTTGCGTTTCCAGTTTTTTGTAACAGAATACACCGGGCCTCTTCTAATATATCTGCTCTTTTACATTCGCCTCTCAACTATTTACGATCGAGTGGAAAGTAGGAAGAACTTCCGCCATCCAGTGGTTCAGTAAGTGCCACCTGTGGGAACTATTTTCCTGGAGAACAGGGAGCTGGAGGGATGGAGGCTGCATTTTCAGGGCTGAGGAGGTTACAAGGGGGTTGTGAGGTCTCAGAATCAGTGGGAGATTCAGACTGTTCTCATCAATAGCTGTTTGGCATTTCAGCAGCACTTGGAAGCCTCACCAAATATGGGATTCCAGTTGCAATGGTTGCTGCACTCGGCCACAGTGGGAGATACAGTATTTTCCACAAATAATTTGAACTCTAGACAGCCTGAATAGAAGGTGTAATAATAAATATAGTGAGTAGTAACCCAAAGTCACACTTGACAGACAATAGAGGACAAGACTTCAAGTGTTCCCATCTCCTTACAGAGCAATCCCACTCATAGGGTTAGCAGTACCAGCATCCAGCACAGAAGATAACTATCACTACACTAGCTCTCACCTAGGCACAACCAGGGGGAATTTTGAGAGGTTTGCATGTCATGAGTCAGGTCAAGAACAAATGAGAAACTCAAAAGAAACACCATAGGAATTCAGAACTGGTGATCTGACTTTTGAAACTAACCTCTTAAAACTGTAATTGTTCCCCAGGGCCATAAACAACATATCTGAGTTCTGAAAGACTTTTGAAAAATAAAACACTTAAGTGACAAAGAAAAAGAAGAGCTCAGCCACTGTTATAGAACAGTGAGAAGCACAGATTGTGTCTAGCTGTACAGAAACAAATCAGATGAGCTCATATATAAGCATAAACCAGATAGCTTTCTTTTCTCCATCACTGGAGCAGTAATGTTAACAAAGAAAATTAAACAGCTCTGATATAATACAGCAGGAGCTGACAACAACGAAATGCAACCTGCTTAGTCTGCTAGAACTCAAGAGCATGCCAAAAAGCAATCAAGAGAGGACAGCCAACCAAGATAGCTTTCTATGACCTTTGACAGCCCCTCCCTTTCCCAAGCCTTTTGAAAGACTCTGGAGGAAACAAAACAGACCTGATCAATAGGCAGGAATAAGAACTCTTCCAGACAAGAAAGTGGCAAACAGCTATGCATGGTAATGGCCAGGGACGCTCTGGCACTTCCACCACCACCAACCCTACTCTTCCACAGGATGGTGGTTAATGCCCTGAGCAGGCTGGGAACTTCCACACTTGAGGAATTTACTTCTCTCCATTGTGACTGTGCCCTATCTGGAGCAATTAATACCTGGCAGAGGGGTGGAACGTGATCCAGGAAAGCCTGTCAGCTATATATGTTGGAGCACTGGAAGTGAGAGGGCACACAGGGAACTAGTAACCTCAAGGAACTGTACAGCTTTCCCATGGCACTTTTTCCACACTAAGATTGCAGAATCAAGGGAGCTGGTATACAGCAGAGAAAAACACTGAGCAGTAATATAATTTACAGATGGAGGGACACAGACTTGGAGAAACATGAAGGGAGTTAGTGGAGCTGGGAATGAGAACACTAAATACAAATCCAGAGCTGCAAGACCCTTGCCTTCCTCCTCTTGCTCCTCCTCATGTAAAATGAGAGAGTTTCTGGTAGCACAGAAGAACCAACAATATCTTTATCTTCTTTTAAGTGGGCAAGGGGTGTGCAGAATCCTTCCGATGACCACTCTTTAACAGATTCATTTGAGGCCCTCATCCTAAGCCAAATTAATCTAAAAATAATTCCCAGCAAATCCGGAAGTTTGCTCTGGACTTTGGATATCCAAAGTCGTTAATTGTTTGAAATTTTCTTAGCTCAACTCTCTCTGGTTTAATTACTTTGAAATTATTTAATCTTTGACTCTGGCTACCATACAAGATGCGTAATAAAAGTGTTTGAGATTTCACATGCTGAAAATCACTTTTCATTTATATCTTATAATTAGTTTGCCGTGAGATGGGCTGCGGTAAATGTAACCAAGATAAAATGCCACCAGGAATCACTCTTGACATTTGTTTCTGAAACTCAATCTCAATGAGCTACAACTCACTCTCGGAAGCAAATCAGCAATGCCTGTTATTGTTTCATAATCTTCCCTAAAAGAGAATCAGTAAAATAATTTCTACAACAATTACCTCATTTCTTTGTAACGGGCAACAAAAAAGCCATCAGAATGGATTAACTCTGCTACAAAATCTCATTTTGTGTCCACAAGGAAATGAAATACAAACTACCTTCATGCAGATACTTGAGTTGGCAAAGGACAAGGAAACCATCCAGAAGATATTCAGAATGTTTTTAAATGTCAGACACATCCCACAGGAGCATTAAGGTAGCCTGAAAATATGGGAGATATCTTTTGGAAAATCACAGCAGACACCTGTTTGTATACACACGTGTCCTGTTTTAACGTCTCGGCAGAGCCATGTATCACAGTCAGAGCTTGAGGAGCTCTTTTTAATTCAAGGCTAGTAAAAATAACTTGATCCCTGCAAAATGAAAGCAACTTTGTATAACACTGAAAATGATTCAATTAATCTTTTGTTCCAGCTGCTTCAATTAAGACAATATCTTAAATCTCAAGATTTCAGTGTGACTCTGCAGTTTTGGAATATTAGTCCTTATTCGTTATGTGACATTAAACCTGTGAAGTAATAAAAAGCAATCTTCTACTTATCTTAATTTCTTTTTTTTTTTTTTCTTTTCTTCCAGCTTGGCCTGCTTCTGCCATTGTTTACACTATATCAGACATCTTCTGGAGACATTATTTGTTCACAAGTTTTCGGGAGGGCACACTCCTCTGAAAAATATGATAAAGGTGACAGTATGTTTGTCATTTTGTGTAACAGAGAATATCCCCATATCAAAGTAGTCCTTAGAATAAGATAAGAAAATAAAAAATAATTTATTTTCTAGCCCCAGGAATTATGATTAGTTAAAATACAAGTATAGGAAGAATTTCAGGGCCATATGCCCAAGGACATGAATTGAAATCAATGTCCATTTTAGCTCCTGCATGTCAATGTCCACTTTGACTCATCCACCCATGGGGCTGATTGTCATATACAGGATATTTTTCAGATTGAATGCTATTTTATTACGAGATATGCTGCTGCAACATCTAGCAATACTGACAGAAATCACACTCCACTTCCTCAGAGCAATATAAATATAGAGCAGGAGACAGGCCTTGCATTAAGAAGCTAAAATCAAATTACAAGCAGAAAAGAAAAATATTCTCCTTTTATAAGAGGACGCCTCCAGAAGGAAGATATTGGGCTGGCCCACAGTCTTCAGTATCCCAAAGCCTCCCAAATTTCAACTGTATGTCATTACCCATAAGCTCTCCTTTCTTTTATTTCACGTACTTAGTCTTGCTCATTTTTTATGACCCCACATCCCACCTCATTCAGTGTCCTGTAGAGGCCCTCCCTTTAAAAGTTCTACCATACATTTCAGATTTCAGTGAAGGAGATAAATGTATGGCCATGTCAGGGGGCTCGATTTGATTCTAGTCAGAAAGAAGGTAATAAGATGCACAGCTGGAGATGTTGTTTTACAATATAGTGTTAAAAAAAAAAGAAAAAGAAAAAAGAAAAAGAGGAATCTAAGCTAAATGTCTTTGGAGCCAGCGTGCCATTTCCAAAGTGATTCATGCCTGTGGGACATTTAGACCCACAGTTGCTCCTGTCCCTTCATGTCTGTGGGTACATATATCACAGTAGTACTGCATAAAAAAAGATTAAACAGAGAAAGCCTGACTTGCGGCACTGCTTTCAGGATGGGGCTGTAGCCAGTCCCAGCATACCGCCCTTCCTTGGAAGGGATCCTTAACTTAGAAACATAGAAGAGCTTTATCCAGTCTCTGGGGTGGTTTCAGTTGTTTCACTGGTAGCTTTTGTTTTTCTCCTTGAACAAAGCATGGGGGCAGTGAGTCCTACACAGGGCAAGAACTTGACCACATTATCTCTGCTTGGACTTTCCCAAGCCCACAGCTTCAGTCACCAAGCAAAGGCAGCTGGGATGCTGCATTTTAAAGAGTGAAGTGGAGCTGAAACCACGGGAGCAGATGCAGTGTGTCGCTCAAATACCTTCATAGGAATTGTGCGCCTTTGTTTTTATGCCAGAGTTAAACTGGGCCTGTTTGGTTTTATTCTGAGTTGTATCAGCTGGTTTAGTGCTCTGTTTGGCTAGCTCAATCTTACTTGGAAGCGCTGAGTTTAAAGTATAGCAACAGCTCATCTGTGTTAACCAACCACTGGCTTTTAGCAGTGCAACAGGAAAATGTGGCATTTAGCAGTACAATCAAACAAGGAGAAAACAAGCATCAATTCCTACAACAGGCATGAAATACATTGAACACGATCAAAAAAAATCTACACTGTGCATCTTTTTATTTATTTTTTTTGGTGGCTTGATAGCATCTTAAAAAGATCCATATTCTGTGGCTCAAAAAACTACTGCAAAATCTTTCAATGGTCATCTGGGTTTTGCACTTATCAGAATTTATATTTATAATGTTACAGTTTGTATTTGCTTATCATCCTTCTAACACAAAAATACACCTTTTGCCCATTCCAGGGCTGTGCCTTTTACTGGGGATTCACGTCCTGGATTGCATACTACATCAACCATCCACGATATACACCACCATGTACGTATAAGTATAACACAAAACTGACTTTCGTTTTAAAAAGTTTTTTGTATGCAACCTTAAGTCCCCCAGAATCAAGATATGGCCCCCACAAGAGATGATAGGACTAATCTACTCAGAGATTAGCCTTAAATTCCCTGTCAGGAGGAAGACTGTTGTGCAGGAGACACTCCAGCCATGCCACTGAATGTACATTCCTGTTCAGCAACAGTCAATTGCTGTCCAGTATTGTGAACTGGAAATACTGGCAAAATGGAAGAAACACAAAGATCAATATATCTTGCTTATGTTCACAATATTTATATTAAGAACGCTGGAGACAACTAGACCTGGCTGCATTTTCCTGGAGGAAGTATTTATTTGTTAAAGATGTATCCTTTTCATGCAAATTAAGAATTTTTATTTTTTTGTGAAAAAACAGTAAAAGTCAAAGTCAAACAAAGTAAACAGTAAAAGCCAACCAGATACTGCAGACAGTAATGAAAAAAATCCTATTTTTTTTTGTCTCCAGATATCATTCATCATTTTGTTCCCTCTCATTATATTCTATTGTTACAGTGCTATTTCTTCATATTTTTTCTTATTGTTTACCTTTTGAACTTTTGTTCCTTTGGAGTATAATTGGCATATGTTTCTTCTACTATTTTACTTTTCATGTTACACCTAAGTCTTTCTTTTCCTTTGCATCTTATACTTATCTACAAGCTTTGGGAACAAAAGGGTTTGCTTTATCATCTTTATTTACTCAGTTAAATTACTAATTTTCTCCAATCAAAAATGTTTCCTACATGGCACCGTTCCAAGTAGCACACAAGTTCGGTTTCAAAATGATGTGATTCACTGAAAGAGATGAATTTGGCACGACTTTAACAGGAATGCTGCAAACAATGCTGAAACCTCCCTAGACACAGTTTCCAGCAGTCTGGACCATCAAATCCATAGATGCAGCTTCTTTATAGAGGAGGCCATTTGTCCAGGACACAGTTTTCCCACAGAGAAAGCATTCAGAAGAAGTTCTTCTAATTGCTTGCCACTGCACTTGGATATGTGAAGACAGGTAGTAGAAAAAGTTAAGTGAAAATTGCCTTGAGATCAGTGGTGAAGAGACTGGCATTTCTAGATTGCTGTTACTATTTGCATTGTTTTTATATTGTGTGTGATAATACCCATTCTTTCTGCAGCGCCTGTCAGGAAAAAAATATTTCTGCTCCTCAGCACTAGATTAATTTCACCCACAGCAAATCATGTGCATACCATAAAATGCAATTTATAATTTCATTCTATTTTCTAGCATTCGGCCACAGACAAGTCTCTTTTGCTGCTCTTGCTTTTCTGGTACGTACAAAAATAAAGTCTCATTAATGGTTGTGGAATAGAAGTAACTCACATAACATAACGCTGCTATGCATTTGTGTGAGTATAGATAGATACAGATTACATATAGATATAGGTATAGATGATAGATATAGATATAGATATAGATATAGATATAGATATAGATATAGATATAGATATAGATATAGATATAGATATAGATATAGATACAGATGTAGATATAGATTGGATATAGATATACAGATATAGATATCTGTACCCACAGCCCTGTGTCCTTTGACTAGATTTAGTGATAATCTATTAAGGGTTGTAGGCCAGAAAGTCTCCTAGTACTATTTACCTGTACAGAGCTTAATGTGAAGTATTGTAGCTGAAGGTCATGAGAACATCATCGGCATTATTACTACTCATAACTGAACAAAAATGCTAATATTTAGACAGATTGGAACCTGCCATTTGAAAAAAAAAACCAAACAAACAAACCCAAACTGAAGAATTACATCCTAAGCAGACTTTGAAATAGTATTCTGTACCTGGCATAGCCTCAACAGCTATTAAAAACAGTAAAAGCAATCCCTACTAAAGTGGATTAAGCCAAAGGAAAGTGCAGGTGATGAAGAATGGCTGAAACTACCAAAGCTGATGTTTGAACGAACATAACTGTATAGCAAGACAGAGGGTCGGTAAGAAATTCTCACATAAAATCACAGAATAGTTTGAGCTGGAAGGGACCTCATCTAGTTACAACCCCCCTGCCATGGGCAGGGACACCTCCCACTAGACCAGGTTTCTCAAAGCCCTGTCCAACCTGGCCTTGAACACTTCCAGAGAGGGGCCTTCCACAGCTTCCCTGGGCAATCTGTTCCAGTGTCTTACCACACCTCACACTGAAGAATTTCTTAGAATCATAGAATACATGGAGTTGGAAGGGATCATTAAAGGCTATCTCTGTCAATCCCCCCACAGTAAGCACAGACATCCTAATATCTAATCTATATCTACTCTTTCAGTTTGAAACTGTAACCCCTTGCCCTATTGCTACATGGAAGTATGTATTCTCTTCTGTCTTCTATTGGCATTGAATTTGGGAATGCCAAGTGTTGTCTCACCAAAGCAAATATGGGTCAGTAGTCAAAACAGTCAGCCTCTTTGAAAATAGGATACATATCAGTTTCCAGAAATATAACAGGAAAATGGAATAGTAACATATCTAGACTCATTTATGAACACTCTTGAGAAAACAGTCAAACAACTGCTCAGCAATATTTAAATGCTTCCATAATTCACCACTCTGACAGATCACCGTTTCAGCAGTGTTTTTTTTCTGGGATTGGCCAGATTGCAGCTCTCAGCTTTTCCTGCTCTATAAAGTAGAGCAAAGACAGATAAAATACTCGTATGAGGAAGGTTACGCACTGTCGTGGGTTAGGGCTGGGCCGGCCT